TTCCTTGGCTGCTTCCTGCGTCTCAGCCCTCAGATGCTTGCAGACGGGGCCCTGTTCCCAGCCGTCTGTCCCGGTGTCCGCAGGCCCCTGCGGGGGACACTTAGGCCGGACCAGGTCGGGCCCACACGTCTTAACTGAGCAGCTGTAGTTCTGTTTCCAGGGCTGGCTCGGAACGGGAATGAGCTTGGACGTGTACTCCGGGGACAGGAGCAGCCTGCAGTGTCCCCCTGCCCTGCCCCCGGCACATATCCCCCTGTGCCCCGCCCCTGCTCAACAGCTGTCCCAGGGCGGGAGGGATTCAGCGTGAAGTGAGGTGTGGACTCCTGCCCGCAGGGTGGTCCTGGAAGACAGGCTGTTAAGTGACAGAAGCAGACACACCCGTGTCCACTGCCATGAGATGTTCAGCCAGGTGTGCGGGCTCAGGCTTGTAATCCCAGCCCTCTGGGAGGCTGAGGCAGGAGGACCACAAGTTGGAACCCAGCCTGGGTAACTTAGCAAGACCCTGTCTCAAAAGAGGCAGAGGGTGTAGCTCAGGGGGAAGGCCCAGGGTTCAACCCAGTACTGAACAAGAAAGGAGGGAGGAAGAGGGAGATGGAATGAAGGAAGGAAAGAAAAAGGAAAAACAAACCTCAGAACAGGGAAACCCATGCAGAAAGTGGCTTAGCGGGCGGCCAGGGCGGAAGGTCGCACTGTTACAGGGGTTCTTTGAGGGGGTTCACGGGTTCTAAAGCTGGCTGCGGGGGTGCTGATGTACAACTTCAAAATGGGCGAGTTTTGCAGTAAGCAAAGTACATCTCAGCCATGCTGTTGCCCGAGGGGGAAAGACGCCCGTGGCTCCCTAGCACCCCCTGGAGGGCACCAGGCTCACTGCTGCCCGTGCGGCCCCTTCGGCCTCTTCCGCGGTCCGTGTGCCCTCAGCGCCGCACCCGTCGCCGGCCCTGCCCCGGCGCAGGCTCGGGCCCCGCGTCCCCGGATCTGAGGCTCCTGAGCTGATGAGGCGGAGCCCCGGACCCCGGCTCAGGAGGACGGAGACGCAGCACTGCCTGGGACGCGGCACAGCGGCCACGGGTCCCGGACAGCTGCGGCCCTGGGGTGGGGTGCGGGAGACAGAGCCACGCGAACCCAAGGTCCCCCGACTCCGCCGCCCGCTCCACGGGGACCCCAGTGCCAGCCTAGAGCCCCACCCGCTGGTCCCACAGGGTTGGATTCTTTCCTTTTGCTCAGTGAGTCCTGAGTCCCTTGGGGGAGCCCAGAGGAAGCCGGTGGCGGGGGTGGCGGGAACTCACGTGGTCCCAGGTCCCCCGGGGACCCCTCCCCTCCTGGGGTGCTGGGCTGGCCGCAGACCGGCGCCTGGGCCTGACCAGGCCGCAGCTCGCCTGGCCGGGATGCAGGTTAGATTCACGTTCCTGGCCCAGGACGCCTGCGCTGTTGGCACTGAACGGCGCAGCGACGGAGCTGGCTTCTGAGAAGCGCGTGGGTGGACAGCTGCACGCAGGGACGTTGAGGAGAAGCCTCACAAATGCAGAAGGTGCAGGTCCTAGGTAACAGCATTTTTTTGGGGGGGGGTACTAAGGAGTGAATCCAGGGCCTTCACACTGAGCTACATAGCTACGTCCCTGCCCTTTTTACTTTTTTTTTTTTTTTTTTTTGGTCTTTGAGACAGTTGTGTTACCTAGTTCAGGCTGGCCTTGAGCTCACTTTGTACCCCAGGCTGATCTTAAACTTGCAATGATCTTCCTGCCTCAGCCTCCTGAGTGCTGGGATTACGGGTGTGTGCCACCATGCCCAGCTTTACTTTTTATTTTGATACAGGGTCTCAGTCATTAAATTGCCCTGGTGGGGCTTGAATTTGAGATGCTCCTTCCTCAGCCTCCCAGAGTGCTGGGATTTCCCATGTACACCACCATGCCTGGTGCTAAGTGATGTCATCTTCTGTATCATGGTTGTTGATGAGCTACTGTCCGGTCGTTCAGTGGCTGCTCTGCCTCTGTAAGCAAGGTGACCCCTCCCCGTGATGGGGCCAAGGGTGCACAGGAAATGGCCCCCGAGGACTCAGACACCTGTCACTTGGGGGCAGCTTCAGCCAGACGTACATAGTATGGAGACTCATGTTCACAGATGTGAACTCAGCCCATCTGTGTCCCAGCACTGCCAGAGCGACAGTCATTCACGGTGACACAGTGAAGGGCACACTGGGGACATGTGTGGAGGCTCCAACAGCACTGATGCTCCCACAGCTGCACACTCACGGAGTGCTCTGCTGCGGTTGCCCCTGCCCCGCAGGTTTCCTTCCTGGGTGATGCCGCCCACATACAAGGCTCCTTTCCCCAGAAAGCAGGGAAGTAATTTCAGTGCCAACATCTGCCAATTTCCATCTCGGATGGGGCCTCCAAATGGGTGTAAGTGAAGAGGATTGAGTGGGGGTGTTTCCAGTGATGGAGGAGGGGGTGCACAGGGTCTCCCTACGTAGCCCAGCCTGCCCTCGAACTCACTATGTAGCCCAGGCTGGCCTTGAATTTGTGGCGATCCTCCTGCCTCAGCCTCCTGAGTGCTGAGATTACAGGTGTGTGCCACCACACATGGCCAAATCCTACACAACTTTATCCATGCACCCGCCGAGTCTGTCCTCACAGGGAACGCTGGAGCCAGTTCCTGAACACACAGCAGCTCCCCCGGACAGGAGTCCTGACTTGATGTCCCAGGGCAGGGACTCGGCCCAGCCCTGAGGGGTGCTTGTTGCATGAGTGAAGGAACAGGGCTCCCCTGCAGTCCCAGTGACTCTGGAGGCTGAGGCAGGAGGATCACAAGTTCAAGGCCAGCCTGGGCAACTTAACAAGATCCTGTCTCAAAATAAAATATAAAATAAGGCTGGGGGTGTGGGTCCCATCCCCACTCCCCATGGCCTCCTGGGCACCTGCTGTGCTCCAGGCCTGGCAGAGGCCTCAGGGCAGCAGGAAAAAGAGGAACAGCACCAGCTCTGGGAGCTGAGGTGACAACAGCAAGAAGTGAGCGAGGGAATCCGGGGCAGGAAGTGGGGACGGAGCAGGGTGACAGTGGAGATGCGCACAGCTGGGCTGGGAGGTGCGGGTGCGGGGGTCCCGCCTCTGCAGAGGGGAGCGGGGGCAGCCGGGCCAGGCGGAGGAACCTGAGCCGGCACCTTCCTGTGGCACTGTCCATGTCCTCGCAGGCGAGGCCCTGCCTGGGGCTTTGTGGTGCCCTGGGCCAGCAGCAGTCAGACTGGAGCCACTGCTGTCAGTGCCAGCCCTGCACCCAGCCTGGCAGGGACAGAAAAGAGCCATCGGGCAGAGCAGGGAGCAGCTCTCCCAGGCTGAGGAGCTCAGACCCAGGAATGAGTCCCTGGCCAGACCATGAGGTCCGGGGCTGCCAGAGTGGCCTCTGTGGCCCGGGGCACAAAAAGCGCGGGGCCGGCTCTGCCCCGCGCTGGGGCCACACAGCATGCTTCTGGGTGGCGCTGAGTGACCGCGTTTCCTGAGCTTCGTCGGGGCACCAGCAAGGCCACGTGCTGGCTGTGGGTGTCACCCCGCCCAAGTCCTACAGCGCCCCGGTGTAAGTGTGAACACGGGTGTGTGTGCACTAGAAGGAGGGTGCAGGTGTCAGTGTGAGCCTGTGAAAGTACACGGGCTTGCACAAGTGTGCGTACAACTGCGAATGTGTGCTTGCCCGTGTGTGAACTTTGTGCAAGAGACCAGATTGGGGGAGATGAAGAAGGCTGCTTGGATGGGCCAGGGGCTGAAGGGAGACAGAGGGATGTGGCCCAGCCAGGAGGGACAGTGGTGCTGGACTTGGGGGCACAGGGCTCTAACCCCAGCACTCAGGAGGCTGAGGCAGGAGGACTGCCCTGTGTTCAAGGTGGTTAGCCTGTGCCACACAGAGAGACGTTGTCTCAAAACAGGACACAGCCCATTTGAGAGGGACAGAGGGACACAGCCCACACAAGGGCTCTAGCGTGGGGTGTGGTAGGGACACATGAGACTGGAAACCGTGGGGCAGAGCTGGGAGAGCAGAGTGGAGCAGAAGCCTCCTCCACACTTGGCTCCAGGGAGAGGTCAGACCGGGCTCTGAGCCTCAGTTTCTTTATTTACAGCCTCTAAGGAAATAACCTTGCTTTTTTTCAGTGCTGGGTGGAACGTGTGTTGTGTGCGGGCCAGCAGTCACTGAATCACCCCAGCCCTTCAGAGCCGGCTTCCCGCTGTCAGCCCCTCCCTGCAGCCCTCAGGGAACCCCGCACTGGGGCCCCCCACCGCAGTGGGCGGCGCCACCTCCCATCCTAGCTGTGGAAACTGAGGCCACGAGCGGAGCCCCTCGCCTGGGGCCAGAGCGGTGGGGGCCACCGCTGGGCCCTGAGCCTCGCTGCACCACCCGTGCACCCCCAGGACACAAAATGCAGCCCCTGAGCCCCAGACGGAAGCTGGATCCAAACACAGCCGCTACCCTTCATCCTTCAGCTGTGTCTCGCAGCACGAATTCACAGCACCCCATGTGCCCCCCAAAGAGGGAGGCACTTGCTCTTCCCTAGAATCTGGCCGTGCGGCCTTGGCGCTCCCCACGGCCCAGAGCACCTCACTTCCATGAGGATGCGCGGCCCAAGGCCCCGGCAGCCCAGCCCCACCCCTGGGAACAAACTGCAGCTTCCTGTTAGTGAGCGCCTCTGGGTCCTTCGCCCTGGTTGTCCCTGTGGTCAGCCAGCCCCACCCACAAGCAGGGCCTCTGCTGACCACCGGCTGACAGCAGACACGCGGAAGGCCCTGTGAGAGCCAGCAGAGCTGCCCGGCCCTGCCTGGTATAAAATACCAGCCCCCGGCATCATGACGTCTTGCAGTTTAGGGCGGCTTTTGTGACACAGCGCTAACTAAACGATACACAAGGGAGCTCAGCAGAGCGGAGGCTGCAGACTGTCGGTGATCATTACCGTCTGTGGTTCTCGGGCTGCAGTGCGAATCTGAACTCTTGGAGGAGACGCAAGAACTCTAACTGGAGGGTTTGCGTGTTTGCGGTTTTTATCACTAAAAAAAGGTAGAAGACATCAGAGAGGGGCGGTGGGGGAGGGAGGGGGCGCGGTGGGGGCGAGAGTCTCCCCACATGTCAGATTCTCCTTCCCCGATGGCCCCTGCCCGCTCCCAGTGCCCTCTCTGTCCCACAGCTGGGGCCCCAAGCCACTGGCACCTGCAGAGAGGCCCGGCCCTGGCAGACAGAGTGGGGGGCAGGGCTGGGGCCACGTCTCTGTCCTTGAGAGGCCCCCAGGTGGACGCTCGGGTCCCCGTGTCCACGTCCCGGGGCCCCAGGGAGGTAGGCGTTGAGCAGAGGGGCCCGGAGAGCTGGAGTCCTGGAGCCCAGGGCCCGTGGGGACCGAGCAGGCGCCGGCCGGCGGTCGCAGTCCAGAGGCAGGGTCTGTGGTGAGGAAGGAGGGGCCGGTCAGCGGGGAGGGGGCCCAAAGGGACGCGGAGAGAGGGCACCGGGAAGGGACAGTGTGGCAGAGGTGGCGGAGGCAGGAGAGGTAGAGACAGAGGAGCAGGACGGAGGCAGGGGCTGCGGAGAGCTGCAGAAGGAAGACGGGGGAAGCGGTGGAAGAAAAGATGCACACAGACCCGCGGCACAGACAGAGGAGCCGGCCGCCGCCCGCCTGTCCTCCCAGCACTTCGGAGGCTGAGGCAGGAGGATTGAAAGTTCAAGCCCAGCCCGGGCAACTTAGTGACTTAGTAAGATCCTGTCTCACAATAAAGAACGTGAAAGGAGGGGGCTGGTGACGTAGCTCAGTGTGAGGGCCCCGCACTCCGCCCCAGCTCCTGAAGAGGGAGAGGAGACAGAGGCGGAGAGGGAGGCGCGGTGGAGGCAGAGGGGAGCGGCGAGGAGGGGAGGGAAGAGAGGGCTGGGCGTGAGAAACCCCATCACTGAGGACCGCAGACGCCACCTGCCGCTCAGCGCCCGCACTGCCGTCCGCCTGCACCAGCCGACTGTCTCCTCCCAGCTCAGGCCCCAGAGCCCGCGGGGCGCAGCCGTGCTCCTCTCTCCGTGTCCCCTGAACCCATCGCCTGCCTCCCGGACCGCCCGCCTGGCCCAGCCCAGGTTCTCCTGTGTAGGGGGAGGGGCACGGCCCCTCGGGTCCTACGTGCCCTGGGCCTTCGCAAGTCCTGTGCCTGCTACTGGGCACCCCCATTCTCCAAAGCTAGGCCCCTGGACCCCTCTTGGACTCCCATGGTCTGGGTGAGACTCCCCCTCCTCCAGGAAGCCCCCCAGCCCTCCTCTTGGCTTGGATCTGCTGGGCCCTGTGGGCTCCTGGGCCAGCACTCCGCAGTGCTGCCTGCCGGGGGTCATCACTGTGGACAGGTCCGTCCACCCCGCAGAAAGCCCTGTGGGACAGCTGGGCTGCCTTAGCCACTGCCGGACAGAGGGGTCTCAGATGTGCACTGGGCTCATGGGTGGATGGATGCTGGGGTACAGCGTTTGGTCTCTGCCCAGAAGACACTAGGGAGCCACAGAAGGTTTAATCCTGGGAGAGTCAAGATCTGATCTGTGCTTAGAAACTCCTGGGCATATGCTAAAGGAAACTCTGGGCTGAAGCTGCCTCCCAGCCCCAGCCTTTGGCACATGCTGTTCCTGCTGCTGTTCCTAGCAGGGTGAGCCTGCACAAGCGACTTCTCTCCCAGAGCTTCCATTTTCTTATCTGTAAAATGAAAACAGAATAATCTCTCCCTGTCGGGCTTGTCTGAAGCACTTCCATGATGCCAGACCACAGCAACTCTGAGACATGGGATCGCAAATGATCCCACCCACTACCTTCACCCCCACTTCCAGCATACTCCTAAGCATCCTACAGTGACCCATTTGGAGACTGATTCCCCTAAGTGGTCTCCCTGCTACCTCAGAGGTAGTGGTGATGGGAAAGTGATGTTTTATTGTTTTAGCTATGGCCCTGGATTGTCACTGCTGTCTGCTGTCCACTTCCGCACAAGTGGGTGGATGGATGGGTGGATGAGTGGATGGGAGGATGGATGGAGGAGCAGGTGGGTGGATGGATGGATGGATGGATGATGGAAGGTAGGTGAATGGGTGGGTAGATGGATGGATGGATGGGTAGATGGAGAGATGGACAGGTGGACGGATGGGAGAGTGGAGGGTGGATGAATCATCTTCCCACCACGTCTTGGAGAACCCTCCTTTCAGGGACCCCGGCCCCCTGTGGAGTCGGGAGGTCTAGGAAGGTGTGTGAGGTGCGCAGGCCCACCGTGTGGACACTCACGCTTGTCCTGACCGCAGGCTCTATAGGTAATGCCACTCTCCTTCCAAGTTTAGATTCATTCCTACTGAGCCTGGGAGACAAAAGAGGAGGGTTAGTGGGTCTTCCCACCCACAATGTCCCTGAGTCCCTTCCACCCCTTCCCGCACCCCTTTGCGGGAAGACCAAGTCATATTTTAAGAGGGTGCTGGCCCTTTAAAGAAGAGTGGAAACCTGGGTGCAGTGATACTTGCAGTCCCTGTTACTGGGAAGCCTGAGGCAGGAGAGTCACTTGTGCCTCAAAGCTGGAGACCAGACTAGGCAACATGGTGAGACCCTCTCTCGAAATGAGAGTGTTGGGGCTGGGGATTTAGCTCAGCGGCACAGGGCCTGCCTGGCAAGCACGAGGTCATGAGTTTGATTCTCGGTACCGGAAAAAAAACAGAACAAAAACACTCAAAATGAGGGTGCTGGGGGTGGTGGCACATCCCTGTAATCTCAGCACTTGTGGGGCTGAGGCAGGAGGATCTCTAGAGTAGCCTGGGTTATACAAGAGTTTTAGGCCAGTGTGAGCTACATAGCGAGATCCTGTCTCAAAAAAAAAAAAAAAAAAAAAAAAGGCGAGTCGCGTCTAGGGTGTAGCTGAGTGGCAGAGCATGTGCTTAGCACGCTCAAGGCCCTAGGTTCTATTCTAGCACCAAAAATAAAACAGAAAGAAAAGAAAAAGCAGAGACTTCCAATGTGATGGGTTGAGCGCAGAAGTGAGCTTTGTAAGGAAAATATGGGGACCAGGAAAATGGCAAGGGCATCTTCTGTTTGTTCCCCGTATGCAAATGAGATATTTATTATTCATAAACCGAATCTGAAGATGGGCCAACTCCTTGACAGACGGAGCCTGGCTACTGGGCGGAGCTCACTGGGGGCGGGGCTTACCGGGCGGCCGGACAGTCACGTGCGCCTGCGTCTCAGTGTAGCCCGCCCCTGGCTGGCCGTCCGGGCTGAAGGCTGCACCCTGCCCTGCGAAGGGGTGGGGCGCAGGCTGAGCCCCCAGGTTCGGTCTGCCCGGCCTGGCTCAGCGCCGCGGCCTCCCCGCCCGCCGCCCACCTGTGCGGTTGGACTGGTCGATCATGGGCTGCACGATGCGTCTCCGCGCGTTGATGAACCTGGGGAGGCGGCGGAGTCGGAGCGGTGCGGAGGGCGCGGCTCGGCGTCAGCACCGCGGACAGCGCCCCCGCCCGCCACTCACCAGTTGTTCACTTGCAGGATGGTGAGCCCGGTGTCCTGCGCCAGCTGCTTCTTCTGCTCCTCGGAGGGGTACGGGTGCTGCGGCCAACACAAGAGTCACCCGCCTGGTCCCCCAAGGCAGGGACTCCGCCGCGCCTCTTCCAGTGACTGGGTGACTCGCCCGGGAGGGGGCGGGGAAGGGGCAGTCCGGAGTCTCCCTCCCCGGCTGCGCCTCTCCCTGTCCTGCTTATCCAGTGCCGGGAACTGAACCCAGGGCTTTCACATCTCCAACTTTTTTTTTTCTATTTTGAGACCGGGTCTCAATGAGTCACCGGGCTGAGCTCAAACTCGCAGCCCTCTTGCCTCAGCCTCCTGAAGTGCTGGGGTTACCGACTCACGTCCAGCTATGTCTCTGTCTGGCACTGACCGGCCCCTGTCCATCTCTGTGTCTTTTCTCTTTTGCACCCTCTCTCCGGCTGTTTTTCTGCCTCTTTCCAGGAGCAGTGTGGTGCAGCGGTTAAGGCCAGACTGCCCGTGTTTGAACCCAGGTCTGCCTGTGTGGCTTTGAGCAAGTCCCCTAACCTCTCTGGGCAGGCTCTAACAGACCCTCTCTCCCTCCCCGGTGTGTGGGTGGGTGGGGGAGGTAGAGGTGATGGGTGATGTGCGCATGCGCGGCAGCTGGGCCGTGGGAAAGACTGGACAACCCGGGGTCCCCTAGTAGCACTTGGCCCTCAGGGAAGGCTCAGCTGTGCTCTGTCACCCTCCGGTCTCGTCTCTGGGTCCCTCCCTGCTTGGTCTCTGCGGCCCGGCCGCCGCCCTGCCCGCATCCCGGGGCAGCAGGGCTCACCGACAGGTGCTGGAACAGCCAGGCCCGCATGATGTTGGTGGCGGCTTTGGGGAAGATCCCTCGCTTCTTGTTCCGCCGCCGCTCTGGGTCCAGCTCCTCATCCTCTCCCGCAGAACTGGGCGAGGCCACGCTCGTGTCCAGCCCGTCTCCTGGAGGGGACCACGGGCACAATGCACCAGTGGACAGCCAAGAGCGGGGATCACGGGGTCCAGGACCGTCGCCCATGGCCCTGTCCTCACTGTCCACGCCTTCTGCCAGTCCCACTCCTGGTCTAACCTCAAGCCTCACCACCTTCCTCCACTGCCTCCTAAGTTTCTCACCTTGGTCACTGGAGTTGTCCCCACTCTGGGAAGCCAGGCCGCCGCTGGATGGACCCGGGGTCCCCAATTGTACAGACCCACTGTCCTCATGGTCTGTGATCCATGTATTATTCTAGAGAACAAGAGTTAGGGGGTTAGTGCCAAGGTTTGGGGCGATGCACGGCACTGACCGTAGGCCCCAGAGCTGAGACCCCTGCAGGGGAAGCTTTTTTTTTTTTTTTGAGACAGATCTCGCTGTGCAGTTCAGGCTGGCCTTGAGCTCACTTCGTAGCCCAGGCTGGCTGGAACTCGCAATGATCCTCCTGCCTCAGCTTCCTGAGTGCGGGGATTACAGGCGTGCGCCACCACACCCAGGAATTTTTTTTTTTTTTTTTTTTTGAAGTTTCTGCTTCTGCTCTTTCCTGGCTGTGTGATCTTGGGCAAGTCACTTCACCTCTCTGTGCCTGTTTCCTCAACTGGAAAGTGCGAGACGACAGTAGTGCTCACTGTTCTGTGGTAAAGGCTCAGCAAGCTAATTCGGGGAAGGCGTGTGGCAGTCACACAGTCTGCACCCCTTCACAGAGATCCTTGGGGTAGGCGCTGGATGCTGCAACCACAGCAGACAGTAAAGGAGCACACACCCCACTATCTCCCGACCACCCCGCAGGGTCTGGGCACAACCCCGTCACCAGACTCATTAACATCTCCACAGCAAAGTGAATGAATACTTAACTAAGTGGAATAAATAAAGGCTATAAATAGCCTCTCATTAGTTCAGGTCAGATCTTGCTGCCAAGTGATTTTGCACTAAACTTATGGGGGGGAAGAAAGTCTAAACTGAGTTTTCAGAGATTCTAGGATCTCAGAACTGCAGATAAGGGAGCCTGGGGCTGTATTTTCTGTACCCAAACTGGGACCCACTTTGAGGAACTTGACACTGTGCTGGACCCGCCCCCTGGCTTGGTTCTGTGCTCCAAGAAGCCCACCCACCCACTGCTCCCACATCTGGATCACTTTGTGCCTTGGTTTAAGATGGGATTCACAGCTGGACATGAGGGTGCACATCTCTAGTCCGGCTCTCTGAAGGCTGATGCAGGAGGATTGCAAGTTGAAGTCCAGCTTGGGCAATTTAGTGACTTAGCAAGACTTTGTCTTAAAAAAAAAAAAAAAAAAAAGGTCTGGAGATGTAGCTCAGTGTGGAAGCCCTGGGTTCAATCCCAGGCACCACAAGAAAATAAATAAATAAATACATACATAAAATAAAGATGGGGTTTGACCTCTGCCAGGCGGCTGCAGGCTAAGTATGTCCTTTTACCAAAAGCCTGCGCCACCATCACGCACCGCACATCCTCTCCTCGCTCTGGTTCTGCCAAGTGGCCTATTTCTCACCACGGCAACCTGGGGACAAACACCTGCCCTCCGTCCTGCTGCTGTGACCTCCTCGCTCCTCGTGGGGACACGTGTGTTCCTGGTGAGGCTCAGAGGAGCTCTCTCCTGGGGCCGAGGGGCTGTGCGGGGTCGTGGCTGGGCTGTGTACGCTGTGAGGCGACTCGGGTCTGAAGGCCTGTGAGCGCGGCCATGGCTGTCACTGAAGCTCTCACAGCCTGGAGTATGACCGGATGCCATGGGTGACGCGTGGAGCTGAGGTGATGCGGCTGGACTTTAGTGTGGCGCAGAACCCTCCCCCCAGTGTGAGTTGGTGAGTGTGGCATGGTGTCCCCCGCTGACACATGGTGGTGGCCGAGGCGTGCTGCGGTGTGTGTGTGGTTGTCCTGGACCCCGGGGTGCTGTGTGGCCTGGGTTTGAGGGTGGCGCCCTGGTTTTAGCCCTGTGCATGTGGCAACTGTGACACCCACACAAGGGGGCTGTGACTCCACCCAGACATCGGGTGGGCGTGGGCACCAAGGACTCTCACACAAGTGTGCCTGGGGCTGTGAGGGCTGAATAGGAGCCTGCCAGGGACTTGTCCCCAGTGGTCACATGCGACGGCTCTCACTGAGCATGAGCCCATCTGACCTGTGTGCACTGACTATGCTCTGGTCCTGCATCTGACCTCATTGCCTGTGGTGACCCTTTGACCACCGGCTGTGGCCTTTGGGGTTTTTTCCCCAAGTGTCACTTCTTTTTTGGAGACAGGGTCTCCTTGCTATGTAGCCCAATCTGGCCTTGAACTCACAGGTATCCTCCTGTCTCAGCCTCCCGAGTGCTGGGATTACAGGTGTGTGCCGCCACGCCCAGCCTCAGGGGTCACTTCTCTATCTCCATGTAAGTCTCTGGAGAGTTGGGACCCTCACAGCTGTCCTGTGTGTAGCTCCTCGACGAGACTGTGCCTCGGCCTCGTGCGAGGCCTGATTGCTGTGCACAGCAGCCCTTGGGGGGGGGCGTGCTCAGTGGGGTCCGAGCGTGGCTGTGTTTGAGTTTGGTGACAGGAGGCTGTAATGTCACCGGCTGTCACTCTAGAACACTGGTGCTGAATCAGCGACCACGTCTGCCCTGCTGCCCCGGGGCCTGGTGTTTCAGGGCACCAGAGGTGCTACTGTCTGCTGTGTAGCTGGGTTTGGGCAGCTGCGTGGGAGCCGGCGTGGGCGCAGCTGAGCCCGTGGGTGGTGCCTGCAGCTGCTGGTGTGTGTCCGTGTGTGCACTTGCACAGCTGTCGCGTTGCTGGCGTGTGACCTTGCGCCATGCATGCCCCGCGGCCGGGCCACAGCCGGGGCATTGTGACCCAGGACGCCCGGTCTCAGACCCACCTGGTCTGGGAGGCTGGGGCAGGAGGCTGGGTAGTCCTCGAGATCCTCCCTGCAGCCACTGTCCCGATCCTCGATGACCAGGTCAATGGGCATCTTTCCCTTGAGGCAGGTGATGTAGCGGTGACAGAAGTTGTCGCACAGGTCGTGGACCTGGGGGGGCACCGGGGTACTGGGGGGGCCACCCGGGGGCCAGGGCTGGGGTGCTGGGGACCGGGTAGCACGGGGCTGAGGGAGCTGGGCGGCGGGGCCGGGGCAGGTGAGAAGCACTCACCTTCTCCAGCTCCAGCAGGTGGAAGCGCAGCACCTGGATGGCCTGGATCATCTGCGAGCACAGAGAACGGCAGCTCAGAGCGACAGAGACAGAAGGAGAGGAAACGCAATGGGCAGGGAGGGAGACAGAGACACGAATCCAGAGTTACGAGGGTGAGAGAGAGACAGAGGCAGAGACAGAGGGAGAACAGAGAGAGAGAGAAAAGTCCGGCTCAGGAGTGGGTTGGGACACAGTGCGCATGCGCATCTCGCCCCTGCTTCTGCCCCGCCCCCAAACTGTATTTCCCAGAGTCCTTTGCCAAAGGTTCCGGTGAAGCCTTGCAGGGAGCTCGGGGCCAAAAAGGTGCAGTCCCAGGATTTGTCCTTCCCTCCTCCCTCTTCTGCTCCATCTCTCCTCCCCTTCACGGAGAAGGACTGAGGCCTAGGGAGGTAGCACCGCATACCCCAGCTCACAGAGCCAGAGTGGCAGAGTCAGGATTTGAACTCAGGCCACCGAGTCCTGTTCTCAGACTCTAGGTTCTGCCGTTTGTAAATGGGCAACAATGCCGCAGTGTGAGGCGAGGACCAGGGCCTCCCCTCTGCCCTTCCAACCGTCCCAGGGATACGGAGGAGGCCCGGGGAGGGCCCAGGGCTCACCAGATTGTCCAGCTCTGGGTTGGAGGAGAAGAGGGGCCTCTCGGAGCGTACCTTGGGAGAAGAGAGAGACCAGCGAGGTCACCACCCGTGTCTTGCCTGCCCCGTGGCTCTCCTGGCGCCCTGTGGCTGGATGGCCCTGCTCACCTGCTTGGCAAAGGCAGCGATGTCCTCGTTGAAGGAATCGGAGGAGCAGACATCACCCCCAGGGGGTGCGCCCAGCCCAGCCCCTACCCCATCTCGGGGTGAGCACGTGGCCAGCTCACATTTCTCAAAGACCAGGGCCAGCAGCGGGAAGAGCGGGTGTCTGGGAGCGGGGAGAGCAGAGGGCTGGTGAGGGCAGGTGCGATCAGGTGCGGTGGTGCATGCCTGCTGTCCCAGTCAGTACTTGGGAGGCTGAGGCAGGAGGAGGATTATAAGTGTGAGGCCAGGCTGGGCTACATAGTGTGTTCAAGGCCAGCCTAGACTACATAATGAGATTTTTCTCTTTAAAGAAAAAAAAAAACAAAAAACAAGACAGAAAGAAAGAGAAAAAATGAAGACAGGCATGGGGGGGGGGCTGGGAGGAAATGAGACCTGGAGAAAACACGTGGACAGAGACACAGGAAGACCAGACACACAGAGAGGAAGAGACCCAGAGACGGCAACAGGGACTGGGCACAGGGACCCGGGGAGGCACAGGAGCTTTCGTGTGCCACACTCACCCATAGATCTCATCCTTTTCCCTCTTCAGACCATCACTGTCCAGGCCTGGAGGTGGGGGCGGCCGGTGCGGGCCATAAGGCCCAGGGGCTCCGGGTGCTGGGGGCGCTGCCTCTGAGAAGCCAGCCAGGGCTGCCGTGCCGTCCACAAGGCCTGGGTAATGGGGCAGCTCATCGTACTGGGAGAGGCGAGAGCGGACCCCGCAAGTCAGCGCCACACAGCCAGAGCCAGGGGAGGTGCCCTCTGTCACCTGCGACCTGGCCCCTACCCTGAAACCCCAGTGCCCCAAGGAGCTGCGGGAGGGGCAGACCAAGCAAGCACCTTCCCAGGGCTGTTCCTGGTGCCCTGGGGTTTGGAAAAACGTCCTCTCAGGATTCCCGACTGTGGGAGGAGGGCCAGGAGGAAGACCCAGTGAGGTGGGTGAGGGGGCGGGATGTCGGGGTGGGAAAGGTACAGAAATTCAGAGACGCAGAGAGACGGGGTCCCCGGGACATGTCCTGTGGGACGGGAGCATGTCACAGATGTCAGATGTGCATGCCTGAGTGTGTCTTCACACGTCACACCCATTCACCACGGGACTCCACCACACACGGAATCACGTGCACGTGTGTGTGCGTGTCTCACACACACGCAGGTGCACATCAGGACAGGGAGGCTGAGGGCCACGCCCCTGGAGTCACCCGCAGCCCCACACGCAGCCCACAGCCAGGCAGAGGGACATGAGCACCGTGCCTGGCACACAGCAGTAGACGCGTGTGGAGGGACAGGACAGCGCACTCGTGCCCGAAGAAACAGGAGCCTCGGGGTTGCACTTCCCAGTCCTGTGACCCCAGAACACTCACGGGGAGGGCACAGGGTCCTTCCATCACCTGGCCAAACCCTGACCTTGGCGATGAAGACACGGAGCCTCCGAGGGGCAAAAGGAGGGTCGGGCCAGCCTCCCCGCCTCCGCCCCTGGGCCGACCTGGGCCCCCAGGCGGGCTCTGCCTGTGTCTCCGTCCTCTCCCCGCCTGCTGCTCCTCTCCGAACTTCTCCAGAGCGCCGAAGTTGAATCCAACTGCTCCCCGCCGCTCACCACACTCCCACGACACGGGCCCTCACCTCCTCCCGCCATCCTGCCCGCCTCCAAGCGGGGCGCGGCCCCCCTCGGCTCTCGCCTCCTGCTACGGCCCAGGACCCACAGCCCGCGGGCACCCGCAGGCCTGGGGACTCGCCGCTCCCACACGCCCCTCCCCTAGCCCGAGGGGGCCGGG